CTCCGAACAAAAGACCAGGCTGCTGGACATAACCGGCATTTTTCACTCTCAAAAGTGGTGATAATCCAGCGTTATTTTGAAACCGTATACCAGGGTCTGGGGCATTGAGAGCAAGCGGATTACCACCGGGACAAAAGCTCTCCACCACCGCAGTGATGAGCCACACAGCACCGCTGCACGCTAATATGGCCCCTATTGAAAAGAGGTCAGCAGTGCACTGAGCCAGGTTCGTAAACAAAAGACAGTTGTATAACACCGCACAATCTGGACTCTGTTTACAAGGCTGCAGGCCTGGCTGAAATACTCGGGCATCAATGAAGGTCACCTGTCAACTTAGAGTAGTGCCTAAAGATTACTTCGTGCGGCTATAAACGACCGTTAAATGGAATGATGAATTTTTGAAGAATTTTGAAAACGGAAAAAATGATAGTCATGCCGGCCCAGCATCATCAACGTTGAAAAATGCCCCGGCACGAAGTGGTTAAGCTGCTCTATGAAATTGGCCCAAGGAGTGTTGTACAACTACAGCTTGGTTTGTAGGCCATCTTGAGTATCTCTCTCCGTTAGGCGCTGGAAGGTAGTCAAGCTGACCTACATCCCAGGACCAGTACATCCCACTACATGTACTTTCGAGAAATCAGCCATGCTGTATTTGCTAATACAACACCTCATAAATGATTCATGAGCAAGCATGAATTGACAAACTAACAAAAACAAGGCCAACATACAATTTGTTTCTGAGCCGCAGAGTTCCACCTGCCTGGCAAGGACTACAACAGTCTGGCTCCGTTAAGATTACATGTCACAGACTATGTGCCTACGAGGTGGGTTCCAGAGAGAATTTTTAGAGCTACCAGAAAAAAATTCCACACGGCAGCGAGCTGGATGCTCACTGGGATGGCATTTCCTAGGCACAAATTGGTTCTACTTCCCGGATGCGAGGTGAAATCGGCCGACGTGCAGTGACGTGCAACAAATTGCTCATGAATATGTATGACGTGTAGTGAAACAGATGGGCCTACCTAGGAGGACAGAGATGGTTAACAGTGTCTGATTAGCCCTTTGCCTGCAACGGTTACATCCTGCTGGATAATCCTGTACCCCTGCAACCATGTTTGCTATAACCCTTACTGAAATGCTCTTCTTTGACCTGTAAGCATACCTGTGAAATGAACTTGCTGTGGCAATAAAACATGTTACCCGTTTGGAACTCGCCGGTGGAGTTGAGGCACATACGGATGGTGATTTGACTGTAGGGACACTCAAGGACTTTGACAGTCTGCAGTTCCTAAATGAAGAAGATCCCAATACGATGTGTTAGCAAACACAAATGCCCGCCAAGCCAATGCCTAAAGTTTGATAAAACCCTGACTTTCTTTTGAGATTTTCACAGAAACCACTCCATGGGAAAGTCATCTCCTTTGGCCATGATCTTTAACCCATGGAGGCCAAAAACAGTAGGCTTGTAGAAGACACAGACACCAACGTGCATCCTAAGTTTGAAGTTGTTTTTTCCTGCCTCTCTCAATGGACCTTATGCACGAGTCGGCCACGTTGAAATTGACAGTGATCGGTAAACTCTTCATTTTTGGAACATGAAGGCATCAATAAAAGAATAAAATAAAATTTTCTGTCAAAAAAGTGTCTCTTTAGTCTGATAAATATTTTTATGTTTATGACAAAACATACTTCAGTCTTTTATAAGCCAGATTCGGAAAGAACATGAAAGGTAGGCTTAGAACCCAAAACATGAATTCCAAAATACTCGTCAGGTACCATCTCATTCAAGAGTTCGTCATCCATTTCTTTTTCCAGCTGGCCCAGATGCGACAGCACTGACTGGTAACTCAAGAGCGCCGGACAGCTCTGGAAACTGTACACCCTGATTAGGCCACCGAGGCCAAGCAAGGTGCCGTCGTCCAAGTAACTGTCCGCTTGACCATTGTGTATGTTGTAGGAGCACATCAGGTCAGCAGGAATGGTTAGATCATCTGTGACAGGAATGACTTCATCCTCCGTGGTCAGGGGCCCTGTGAAAGTACCAAAGAAATGGAATAATGAGCCAATGAAATTTCTGTTTAAAGGTATCCGCCTCGAGCAGAAGCACCCTGTCATGGAATGAACAGCCATGTAGGTTGGGAGTGTTCATTTTGTTGGTAGCTATGCGACCGTAATGTACATGTATACATTTTCTAGTCGTTCGTGAACCATCAAAGTATGCATGTAGTTCCAACCAAAGGAGCCTCCGTTACTAAAACATTTTCCCCCTCTTGGTCCAGCTTGATGCTCACGGCCCATCATTTGCAGTCTTCCAGAAAATTACCGGGCTGAAAAGCATAATATGTGACCCACTCTGTGAAAATGAGTCATAAGTCGCCAGAGCCACTTTGGAGTTTTCATTTGTATTGGAAAGAGCAAATTGAGGTTTTGTTTTAAAGTATCACTCAGTTTGGTATCCTGATGAATGTGGATACTCCATGGTGAAAAATGCTGTGGGGTCCTATTGATTTACACTGTGTAAAATTATACTTTTTACTCCAAAGTGACTTTGGCGAGTTAAGACTCATTCTCACAGAGTGGGTCACATATTTGGTTCAAAGAAGGATGTGACACTGAAGGCCCTTATTCTTTTGTCTTTCTGGCAAGCTGTCATTTTGAAAAAACAAACAAAAACAATAAAAGGCACCCATTGCCTATGACACGTCTGAAAACCCGTCTTTTTGAAATGATTGCCAGTGGTTTCTCTTCAATAAGGTGAAGTGTGCACAAGCATTGATACAATGCACAGACGGTAGCTGCAATTTGCCGGCTCAGCGCAGGACATCCCGTAGCTGCATTCAGCAGAATTAAAACTTGTCCCCGGACACTGAATTTCGGGCACCATTCCGTGTTTGAACAAAGTGGGCGCTCCAGAACCCAGCAAGGAGGGCCTTCCATTTCACTGGGTCACATGAGCTGTTTCTTTGTTTATTTCTGGGAGTCTATGCACACCAGTAGCAAACCAACAACCACAAAAAAGTCAGTACAAAATGGGAAAGAATGGGGGGAATTAAAGAAAAGACCCAAATATTTTTGGATAAGTCAAAATATCTCAGCTGATTTTCCAAAAAGGGATGGGCCTTCTGTTTTTTCTTCTATGATGGCCAGCTAACTTTCATTTCAAAATAACCGCCTCCTTTTTGTAAAATATTCCATTTATAATTCTACACTGCTTGTTCAAGTGCCTTTGTTCAAAATGAACAAAGATCTTAGGAGAAATGGACACTTTTGCAAACCATGAAAAATCATGAAAAAGGACGGAGCTTCAAAAAGGATGTGCTTAGGGATGACCAACCAGTATTTTTAGCCTGACCTCAAGGATGAGTTTCACGCTATATCTGCAGTGTAACCATCGGAGCTAGGGCTAACATGATCAAAGGACAATCTACAGTGAGCAGTGCTCCTCATTGTCCTGGGGGTAGGGTGGGACACAAATTTTCCACAGTGGGTGAACTTCAGTGAGGTTTCCTGGTGATGAAAGCCAATTGGCCTTGTTCACAAGTAGGCAGTATTGAATTGAGAGAGAGGATAACTTTCTTTATTTTGGCATATGAGAATAAATATAAAAGCGAGGAAATGAAATTTCGTTACACATTAACCACTTGCTGTCGGGTGCTTTTAAAAATGCAGCGCACACATACGGGAAATTTTCAAGATTTTCTGTTTTCAAAATTCTTCAAAAATTCATCATTTCATTTTATGGACGTTTACACCCACATGAATGACTCTTTGGTGGCTACTCAAAGATGACAAGCAACCTTCACTGACTCCTAAGTATTTTAGCCAGGTCTGCCCGCCGCCCTGTAAAGAGAGTCAAGAACTGTGAGGTGTTGCGTAATTTCCTTTGTCCTCAGGAAATGCGAGTGGTGTCTTTTCAAACACGACTGGATTAGCATGCAGCGGTGCTGTGTTGCTCATCAATGGGGCCCTGGAGCACTATTGTCTGCGGTATTAATCCGCGGGGGTGCTATGCCCAAAACAGTGGTATACTGTCTGAAAACAGTGATGGATTACCTTCGAAAAATGCAAGCTAAAAAAATGATGGGAATTCCCAGCAGAAGGTCTTTTGTTCCGTACGGTCTCTTGTTACACGGATGAGCTCTTTTGTCCCATTTCGGGCATATAAACCCATGGTGCTCGAAACGGGGTTCCCCGGCAGAGAGTGGTTAATGTCACTTATGCCGATGAAGAATTTTAAATTTGTGGTTGATTGTATTGAAATGTTTGGCCACATTTTACAAAAATAATAAAATGGAGGCACGGAGCCTAAAACAGTCTGGCACCCACCCCATTGAACAGATTACATTGAATAAGACAGAGTCTGGAAACACAGTAAAAATGGCTTCCCTATGAATAAGGTTTCTTCTAGCCAAGCTACAGTTCGAATGAACTATACCATTAAGGGTTTGTAGAATGTCCTTGGCTCCCCTCCCTTTGAGGCCGCTTTCAATTCTATTCCACAGGCCCTTCACGCTAGAGTAACAGCCTATGAACTGGCCCAGTTTCCGGTAGCTCTCTTGGAAGGTTCTATACCAGACAGTTGGACTCTCTGCATCTCCATCACTCTCAATGGGACTAAATGCCATGAAAATGGACAAAATCATAACAATTAGAGTCCATCCATTTCCAACAGGCAAAAAGTGCATAATGGTAACAAAGATGAAATACGTTTCCATGTTTTAGAACAACTCCCAACCATCTGAAAATTCTGACATAGATTCTAAGTAGGCATTTTGCATTTTCCTTCTTTGTGTGCTAGTTGGAGCAAATAAAAAATGTAATGGATGTGCAGTAGTAAGCCTGCCACACATTCAGAAATAGCTCAAAATATTTGATATTGAACCCACCTAAAATGACGAGGGAAAGTGGCAGCTTTTACGGCGTTTATAAAATTGTGAGATTATGGAACTATATGATCAAACATGTACATGTTTAAACCCATTTACACCTAATGTATAGCATAATATTGCACAGCTGGCATGACTGGGCTATTTCCATAACGTATACAGGGTGTTTTAAAAAAGGAAATCCAACTCTAAGGGGCTAATATAGCTAAATCACATCTCACACATCATTTAGAGGGTCGAGGCAAAACAATTGAGGATAAGAGCTTTCAAATGACACCTTTCTTGCCTAATCATGTGATTACATAAGTGGATACCAATGGATTTAAATCATGGCACCAAAACTGCACTGGTTCACTGATTGAGCCTTGTCGCATTTCACTTGGCCAACTGCCACGCCTTGATTGTGAATAATGTCTTGCCTGGTTATGCAATGGAGTTAATTTAAAAGGCCTGGCAAGGCCATTTTGGCCATCAAACAAGCTTGGTATCACAATGGTGCAGCTAACCACCGAGCAGAGAATTTTTGTGGTACAGAGATTTCAAGAAACCAAAGTCTGCAAGCCACACAGGATGCTTTTTGAGAAACATTCAGAGACAGAGAACCACCAGCAAAGAAAAACAATCCGGGCCAATGTTAACAAGTATGACACACATGGAACCAGCCTAAACAGGAACAGAGGTCACTCAGGATGGCTGTTGATGAATATGTGCTTAGAGAATAAATAATCTTTCATTAAAATTAATGAGAATTTGTGTTGATTTTGTTTCACATGGAAGTGAACCAACCACATTTTTGTACCCTAAATTCTGAGTGATGGTGCTCAATCATGCACGGCCCTGAACAAAAAACCTTTCGTGTCATTTTAACACTCATAATTTCTACTTGAAGTGATACCATGATCCTTACTGAAAGGTATATAGAATAGTCATATTAACGCCTTAAAATTGGATGACCTTTTTTTTGATACACCTGTACATTTAGACCCTCATGTATCCCTCTCAATACACAACTCTGATATCAACTGGTCACCGGGTAGTTCTAGATGTAACTATCAGGGTTTTGCCTCAACCCTAACCTTCCCCAACCACACAGAATTAAACAGTAGCAAAGTGTTTCATTTTGTGGGGATAGGTCTGGTAGGCCCATAACAGCTGGCTTTTGCATTGGGTTTGGCATACCTCAGAAAAACTAAGTCCAACAGCCACTGTGCACAAAGTCCCATATGGGTGTTTAACTTTGTGTGAATGGGGAAGGTTAGGGCCAGCAATCCTTGGGGGGTTTGGGTTAATATCTCTATTTTAACTTGCAGCTTGACTTACCATACATCCAGCCAGTGGATGTGACATAATCTCTTCCAGAGAATGTTACTCCGGCTCAAATCTCGCAGCCTCTGGCAAACACAGCCTACCCTGTGATGTAGCAACAAAGAATTAAACAAATTGCAAAGTCAACAGCATCAGTTACACGTACATGCACGCACATCGAGAACAGAGATCTCCAACATTCTACGCAAACTTAAACAGCCAGCTAAAGATGATACGTAGGCCCAGTGTTTCATCACTCGGACTCAGAACATTCTTCCTATTACATGTAGCAAGGCACGGTGTTGGACTCCTTTAAAATTGCATGTGTAAAAACAACTGAACAATCCTCCATGGTCAGTGTAGGGATAAAACCTGTTCGCAATAATTCAAAATATGTTCAAAAATGAGAATATTCATGGGCCAATGGGCATTACTGTTCTGAGATAAAATATACGGTCAACCAAGGATGGCATCTCTGCAAACTCTGCAAACATGTTGACACTTGATTAGGCCCTATCATGATTATAAACAAAAGAAAGGTTTACATGTATGCACAATGTCATGAGTGCAGGCCCCACCCCTAGAATTGTGGGGTCTGTCGTCTGCCCTACTACCATGGGATAGTGGGGCGGCCGTCGGACCCCCCCCCAGTTCTGGGGATATGCAGGCCCTAATGTAACTATTGGTTTAACTCATATCAACAGCCAAATTGTCTTTGACTTTGTTCTAAACATTAAATGCAAATTTCCTTATGCTACGACCAGGTCTATGTCATTGTATCATACTCCAAGAACTGTGAGGCGTACTCCGTGTACATGGAGTGAGTGTGCCTCAAAGTTCTGGGACTCTTGGGGAGTAGGCCTACATGTAACTGTCTGGCATGCTGGGTATCATTCATGAACATTAAAATATTAGGTCTTGATTTTTTTTAAGGGTATGAATCTTATAACATGTCAAACTAATAACTAGCCTGACTTGTCATGCTTGTTTGTTGGTCCTTCGAGAACTCTTACTCATTACTAAGTAGTTCGTAAAATCATAATAGAGGAGTCTGTTTTGCCTTCCTCCATGACATGCATGGTAAAACGGTACGTTAGTTAAAACACGTTCGTGGAGTTATCATGGTTATGGAGGTGAGCCGGTGCGGTGATTAAAGTTAGAGAAAAAGGAAAGTGCATTAAAATCACATGCCTGCATAGGTCTTTGTATGTAACATGAGAAAGAACAATAAGCAACAGCTCATCAGGTAAATGAACCACAATGTCAACTGTTTCTTCCTTCGGTTCCATCTCTCCGCTGGTCCGTTTACAGAACGACGATGGAACCTAGGCTAGTTGTGAGCGCCGCCATGGATCGTGTTTTTATTTTTCAGCTGTCTGCTTTTTGCTCCTTTCTGTAAATAGCGCCATCTATTGATGGCGAAACAGCAGGGTCTAACTTGTAGGCGGAGCGAGTTGGATAACTTTAAGTTTTCGGAGGGGGAACTGAAAGGTGTGACCAAAGAAGCATGCAATCCAGAGGGTTTTTCCTCTCCTTTTAAAGATACAACACATAAGCAGTCGGATTAACATAGAATTTTTTACCCGGAAAAGGTCAGATTTTTTTTATGCAAATTCTTCGAAATTACAATTTATGACACAACCAAGCGCTACGCATTACAATTTATGACACAACCAAGCGCTACGCATTAATACATTAATCGTGCAGATAAACAAGACTTAAAGTGTGCACATCCTCCGTGGAACAAAAAAGAAAATTGTGTGAGTTTACATGTCATCCGGTGTCACATGGTTAAATATAGACTTTCAGACGCTATCTGTTGTATCAGATATGGAGATAAATGTACTTTAAAATGCGATTCACAACCTGAGAATCAAATTTCCAGAAGTGCATGAAGGATGGGGATGAGGGAATGGATTTCAAATAGCTTCAAACTTTTTGCGCTTGATGATTTTGCCGTTGTTTATGCATGCCTCACAGACCAAATGTATCTGGGTGGGTGTTCTGAGGGTTGTAAAATTGGTGCCTAGTCAATAAGTGATTTGGTTTTGTTCTCTGTAGACAATTTTGCTGAGATACACAATGCAAAGGCTATTTCTCAACATCTGTGCAGGAATGGCGGTTGCCTCGTCCCAAACTTGTAGACAATTCAAGTCCAAACTCAGCTTATTATGTTACTGTACAAGAGCCGCAACGATGGATTTCAAGTGACGTTAGCGGACAAAATGTGACTATCTAACCACTCATCATCAAGTCTTTGAAGATGGAGGTAATGGCAGAGACCATGCAATGCAATAAAGGTATGACTCTACTGCAACACTGAATTAACTTGCCACTCACTTGAAAAACTGCCCGATGATACAGGATTGTGTCAACAATGGCCTTCCTTTCCAAATTTCACCATTTAATCAGAAGAGCCAAATATTCAAATGTACTTTACTTCTCATGATTAAGGTTTTACAAAAGCCACCATTTACACTTCTTTAACTTCATACATCATAAAGAAACATATAATTTAAATTCCAAGTCAACAATTACAATTGCACGGTTTTCTTTTACAAAGACATGAAAATAATTGGTAGGAAGAGAATTCAATTTCATGAAAGTGTACAAACTCATCGGAGCTTCAGTAACCCCCAACAAATTCAGTGGTAATACAGTAGTGTTCTTTCTACTTCTTGCATTTTGATTTTGTTTTCAAAACTACTGCAATAAAATGTAGTAGGTTTTGGAAGTAGGTTTTTATTCCAAGCCCAACCCCTACAAAACAAATAATCACAATTGTACAAGCAATGTATAATTTAGCTAAAGCAAAGTGAAATGGTTATTTTCCATTATGAAACTCTTCTGTATGTATACTTTTTGTCTGAAAACAAGAAATCATAAAGGTATGCAAACATTTCTTATGGCTGGTACTTCCAAAACTGAATAAAAGGGCATAATTCATTTGTTTCCAACAATAGGTTAAATAATTCCCAGGTCCAAAACATAGGAATGAAAAAACACAAAAAGCCACCATTTTTTTAGATCAACGTATGGCCACGGCTCCCTCTCTTGATTACAAGTGAACACAAAAACTAGCACAAAAAAACCTCTTCATCCCCCTCTGCAATGATACTTTCACAGATTGTACTTGAATTAAAAATGTGTATACCTCTGGTGCACTGCTTGAGTTAAAAATGTTGCATTGCACGAAGCATAGTGACCTTTCTCCACATGGTCTGTCAGGCAGCAGCTGACGCAACGCTGCAGAATGTATACCTTCAACACTCTCTATGTATAAAACTATCAGCAATACTTTACAAGCTCTTGAACAATCAACATAGTTATCGTCCCACATATACAGAATAAAACCTCATACAAACTGTAGGCAGCAATATGATTTAGTTATAGGGCTTCAAACTGATAGATTTGCAGCCTTTGTGAAAATTTTTTTTTTTGGCTGACAATATTCCTGCTAGAAGAGCCTCCATTAATTTCTGTAAACAATAAAAACCAAGAACACTTTATCTTCAGAATAAGAGTTGCTTGAAACAGTGGTGTAATGACACAAGCTTGCTACAACTTTTCTATGCAATGTCATAATGATGGCCCTAGAATCACTTCTTTTCTACAAATACACAAAGTCTGGAACAGCAGCAGCAGAACAATTTTCAAAGGGGGGGCAGTTGTGAGACCATCAGGCATCAGCCATTAATAGGGCAATCCGTTAAGCCCCACTTCATTATAGGCCCTGTAAAAAAGTGGGGGAGGGGGTACTGACCCCCCCTGCTTGCACCGCCAGTGGTCTAGAACAGGAAAGCTATATCAATTCTTGCAACAAATGAAAAAAAAAGACCATCTTTTTATTGCCATCAATCTACTACTTCTGATCCTTTTAGGAAATAAATGTGCCAAGCCTCAAAGGAATCACAGTGGACAATCTGAAATGGAAGAATGATTTCCTTTCTGGATAATTCCTCTGGATCTAACACGCTATGCATTGTTGAGTTCTTTTGTGCTGTGAATTTGAAACCTGCAAAGAAAAAGCCTGTGTCCAGTGAAGTGGTCTGTGCCCTTTTGTATCACCAAGGACATGCAAAGTGCCAGGTTTTTGTTCATTAGGAATAAAAACCCTATGGAAGGCTACTAGTGTTGAAAGAAAATTCATAACTGAACTGAATTAAATCAGTTCCCTTTTTATTCTGAGCACACACAGTCCTGATTAAGGAGCTCTTTAAAATGGAGCCCTCAGAAATTGTGCCTTTTCTAGGGGGGGAACAGTTCTAGATCCAAAAGCAGTTTATTAAAAGACTGACCTAAAATAGATGCTTAAAGATGCAAATTTTCCGTGAGTGCACTGAAAAGTGATGGTTTCACTGACAGTAGACTTCTGTGCAAAGAACTGCAGCAGAGTACACCAGTGTTTCTCTGGATGTAGATGACAGGCCTCTGGAAAGTTCAATGGACACTTCCTGCTTGTAGGGATTCAAACATTCATAACAGTCCAAAGTACCTGTATTTGAAAATGTCCGAGTTGATCTTCGAAGCAGCCTTTCTATCAACCATTCGAGAGTCAACACTTTTCTGCACAATACAGCTGTGATCAAACCAGATGGTTGCAACTGACAGGGACACTAATGTCTATGGGAAGTGGCTGCAGCCGCTAGCTAGTGACTTTCATGGATACATGTGCAATTTCGAGTCGCAGCCAAAGCTTTTGTAAATAGTCTGACTCACACTATAATCTTTTTGGTTTCAATGTGTTTGTGTACCTCACAGGAATTTTGTTTAGTTTCAGAGACAGAGAGTGAAATGATGAAAATGAGCATAAATTACCTACATCGGATTTACTGACTGTATAAACAGCAACTTGAAAGTGACTGTTGAGGATTTTCAGAGCAACAACCAGATCAGATGTGTGCATTCCTGAAAATAGAGATGTGTTGAATCAAAACCAATCTCTGCATATATGAATATGTATCTTTGTGAAATTAGCAATTGCTTCAAACATCTATCATACAAATAATTAAATTCAATTTGTCATTTTTTTAATGACAAGAAGGTAAAATATTCACAGTGAATTGTTTCAGATTACACACATCGTTTTCTTTAAACATTCTTAGTTTAGACACATCTGATATGTCCAGCATTATTACAAATATTACCATCTTATTGGCAAGAAAATCACCTAAATGTTTTGTTCATTACATGTCTGAAAAACGAGTTCATGAGTTCTCACTGAGTTACTCCTTAAAAACCTTGACTTAGTCTTACTTAGTCACAGAATTTGCTATATACACTAACAAGAAATATCTACAAACAACTCAGTGAGAGAAAACTAAGGTGGGATAAGCTATGAGCAGAGGAAGAGTCTTAGATACTGCAACAGATTACATTTCAAAGCTTCAGGGTTTTTAACCAATTGTGTTGTGTGACCAGCACCTGATGTCATCACAAACTTATATCATATTCTCTGGTGTACATATACGTACAAAATGTAAAATAAGCTATAAGCTATTTTGCTGGAATAGCTCTTCTTTGAAATGTTGACTCTGTTGACAAAATGTACATCAATGGAGACATTTTGCTTTTCCCTAAGTACTACTTGCATTGTCGTTTTCAAGGAAAGTTTTAAACCAAGGAAATTAATCCTTTTTTTTTGTATATTGAAAAAAGAAACTTAATTACCGCACTGACTACAATATGGACACCTTGCCAACTTGGCATTCAAACTCGGCATATGGTACAAACATCGAAGACCTACAAACAGTTCTGAATTTAGGAATGAAGTAGAAGTTTGAGAATGAAGCTGAGATGTAAGAAACAACCCATAATGCCCAAGTTGACCCAATCTCTTTTCATCTGCAGCTCATACGATGTAAGGAGAAACTGGAAAGAGACAGTCACAGGGATTACGTGAGCAATGAAGTGGACAGCCTCAGCAAATTGAGCATTTGCGGCTATGTCTTTCTGTCACTGACTGTCCTCGGCCACAGTACAAGAATGCATGTTTCAGATGCGGCAAAGTGCACATCTGTAACACAATACAGCAACTCATCAAAGCTCAGGCTATTTGCCATATCTCTGCTGTGTCTCTCAGGCTCCACAATCAAACATTTCAAACATTCTACTGTTCCAACTAAATGAGAATATTCCAAATTTTGTACAGTTTTGATGTTTCTGAAACAGGCAGCAAAGTTGCACAGAGTCAGAGTGGGCTCACTCAGCAGTGTTGTAGTAGAGACCTTTATCAGAACTCGCACAAAGGTAATGTGTAATGAAAAGTCAAATTTGAGTCATGTCAAATGTGAATGATGGAAAAACTCTGAGTACTTTGACTTTAAACTCAAAGTACTCAGAGTTTACTGATTCTACTAAATCTAGAATACAGTTTGGATTGTGTAATGGTAAAACAGAATGTAAAATGAATGTTTTCATCATCTCCAAAGATCTTAAGAAGGTCTCGTTGAGATATTTACAATTAAAAGCACGCTTAAACTTTAAGCCATCGCCATTCTTTAATTACATAATTATGTTCTATAGCCTAAATATATGATTCATTTCTTGTCTGAGAATTACAGAACTTATGAAAAGTAATGAGTTCTTAAAAGTCTCAACTACAACAATGCAAGTTAGCAGGCTGGGTTCAGGAAACTGAAGCCTTAAATAGGACAGAGAGAAGGCCAAAGGTTTGGAGGTTTGGATAACCTCCAAACTGTGATTGCACCCTTGCTGTTTTCCCGTTGCTGGCAACTACCCATCAGTGGCCTTTGGGGTGCTCTTGCTGTCCCCGTTGGCCACCTTGGCCATCAGCGAGCGCAGCTTCATCAGGTTCTGCAGGGTGGTCTGGTCATTGGGTTTGAGCCGCAACGCCTCCATGTAGCTTTGCTCCGCCTCTCCCAGTTTGCCATTCAGGTGGTACATGGCCCCCAGGTTCATGTGACTGCTTGCTGCCTGCAAACGTGACGCATGAACACAACCGAGTTTAAATCCTGGTTTGCAGTAAAAAATCTCTCAACTTGGCTTGTAAGAAAATAGATGAGTCCAGCATTCCTTCCGAGGAGAAGTGACTTGACCCACCTCAGGTTTTAGAAGGGCTGCTCTCTTGTAGAACTCCTCTGCCCTTTCATTGTTGCGTGCCTGGCGCAGGGCATTGGCCAGGTTAAAGGTTGCCTCATGGTCATCAGGTCGGAGGTCATACGCCTTGCTGAACATGGCCAGTGCTTCATTGTACTGGCCGAGGTCGTTCAGGAACTGGCCTGGAATAATGAACGTGCAGTCACATGCAAATCAGGCAAGAACTGCTGGCTCAATCTGCGTGTTTGTTTGGATGAAATAGAGCATTTCATGGTAAAGCTGGACTGATTTTTCAAAATATACCTGCTACTTACCGTAATGTTGATAAACGTTATGATTGCTTGGTTCCAAGTCTTTTGCCCTCTTAAAGAATTTCTGGGCTTCTGCAAATCGGCTCTGTAAAGTGAGAAGTTAAAAGATTTTACTAAATAGTAAACACTTCATGATAGACACTATATTTCATTTCAGGGGCTTAAGTTGTTCTTCATCTTCAATGTTCAACAAAATGTCTAGACTGAAGGACTTTGAAGCACTTTGCTGGAAACATACCAAAGCAATGCCAGTTAGACACATGAAGAAACAAAATAAGGACTTACAGTTTTTCCTAGCATATGAGCATAGGTGAGATGTGCAGGTATGTGGTCGGGTTTAGCTTCCAACGATTTCTTGAACCATTTTTCTGCATCCTCATTCCTTCCGAGTTTGAAATATGTTTCACCTGATCAACAAAACATGAAACTAGCAAAGGTTTAAAAAACTGGCTTTAGACATACAGATTTATCCTACTCAAAAGATGTTTGTATCTTAACTTTCTACTGATGGACGAAATGAGTGGCACCTTGAGAATGATTTTCTGTGTTTTATAGAAGAGCAAATGTTGGATTTAAGGACAGTGAGGGCTCGTTTCCAAATCCAAGAAATGTTGGACTTTCAGCGCAAGAAATCCGTCAACCACAATGACAAGGCATCATGAGTTTGGAGAGCAAAAACACTTCAAAAGAAAATGACATAGAAATCTACATGAGGGTACAGCAATTGTTACACTACAAGACTAATTAATGGTGGTAACGTCTGTCCAGTAAGTCCCAAATAAAAAGGTAGTAAGTCCTTCGGAGCCGAAATATGCCTACCTAGCATGTTGTACAGGCTCTGGGGTGTGTAGTGGTTAGGTCGTCTTTCAATGGCTTCCTTGAAGACTTTTAAGGCTTCCTGTACATAACCACATACGATTGTGTATTAAATTGACTATCACTATCATGTCTTCCCATGTGCAATTATACATTTTCCATCTTGTGACAATACGGCAACGTTGAAATGTGTGGTCGTCACTATTATATTACTTGATTCCTCAATTGTTTGGACACTAATTTCCAAGCCTTCATTCACAGACCACGGTATTCCCACAGTTGAAGATGCTTCCCTACTTCGTATGGTGTCCAGACCCTGGAATGTGGACTGATATCATTGACTCGATATGGAGTTTGATTGAGTCATCCTCTGATCTGCAAAAGGTGACATCAACTCGGAACCACTGAAGTTGAGGCTTGACCCTGAGATTAAGCTGAGTGGACTTGGAACATGAATGTGCATACAGGAACTCGGCTACACTATTTTATTTCATTTGTTTCTCTGAAAGGAATTGTGTGGTAATTATACATGTACTCTGCTCATTTGAGCATGTCACATATCACGTACATTTTCCTGCTGGGATGGGTGTGTCAATAACTACAGAAACATTTGTGTTCAACCTGACAACATGACAGGGATCTACTCTACCTTTGTTGATTACTTCACCCGTTACAGCACTCAGCTTTTCAAATCATTCCATCAAAAAGGCCTCTCTGAGTAAAAAATACACTTTTTTTCTGCTATCTGTACCTCATATCTGCCCTGGTCCTGGAGAAGTCGGCCCAGGTTGAACAGCGAGGATATCACCCCAGTCATTTGATTCTTGGGGTCCTTCAGACCCGTGTCGTCCAGGGTGGCTGCATGCCGGTACACTGCCTCTGCCTCGTCGTGCCGTCCCAAGGTGTTCAGAACAATACCCAGGTTAAGATGAGCCACTACAATATAAAAAAGGGAAATAACTGCAACATCTGAACTGTTTCATATTGATAAGTAATACACCACCTCTACTGTGTGAATACATTCAGCTCACGCAAAGGACAACATTGGTTGTACCGGGAATGTATACCAGGAATTAAGATTTGGAGTGCTTACATGGAAAACAGACATAATGGAGTCTGGCCAGCATATGAAATAGATAATATTTTGGGAATGTGAAATAAAGGTAGTGTGCTCACAAATGAGCACCAAAGGAAAAAAGTCCACATGGTCCACGTCATTTTAGCTTTAATGCTAGACACAACATGAGTATGTGAGGAAGAAAAGCAGCTGAAAATGTCAACAAATTTGAAAATGTCTCTCGCCTATCTGACAAGCTGGCCACCCAAAAACACTCACGCCCATAGTCAGTCAGTGTTCAGTAGACTTGGTTTTGTGGAGTGAGCCTGATTCCCACTTTAATGACCCATTCTTTTGGGTGCACTCAGATACTCAAAATAATTCCACAGCTCTGGCTAAGAAAGAAAAAAAACGGCAAAGGACCAACAAATTTTTTTTAAAATGCAAAAGGGGCTGGGAGATCTCAGGAACCAAGTCTACTGTGCAATGTCTGCCAGCCCCAACCTGTTGACGAATTCAAAGCATTGCTGTACATGTAAAGCTGAGTCTATGTCTGGGGTGAAGTGATGAAGCACCAGAACAAGTGTCACTGGTGAACCAGGCCAAATATATGCAACGAACCACGGCACACTACATACTTGACAGTCTTGGTCTGCACTGGATGGCCAACTGGTAACTGGTGAGAGCTTCCTCATATCGCTTGCTTTCCTGCAGTAAGATTCCTCTGGAAAGGCAAATTAAAAGAAAAAAAAGACCTCAGGTTTTTCCGCTGAAGCTACATTTTACCTACCTGTACACGTGGGCAAGCACTTATGGTCAAAGATTCCTTTATTGCCCTGAATTTCCTTCCTGATTGCTTTATTGCCCTGAATTTTCTTTAGAAACCATGCGAAAACTACATCATTAAGACAGAGATGTGACAAAACACTTGTTGGCTGCTGTGATGTAGGATATGAAGTATTGAACATGCCATGCATGTGCCCGTGGAGTTTTCAAAACATGTCTTACATTACAGCAGTTAATAATTGTACAACGTAGATTTGGATTTGCCGTCTTCCCCTGAACGGCACATTATATGCAAATATTAATTACAAAAACAGACAAGGTATTTTTCAAACTTAAAATAATCGATGTAGGACAGGTGCATAAGTTAAAATTGATCAATGCTGCATGTGGAATGATCATAAAAAAGGAAACAATGGCAAACCAGCATCAAAAATTCTTACAGGTTGTAATGGACGTCAGCCATGTTACCACGGTAACTCAGTGCATTTTTGTATGCCTCCTCGGCCTCTCCTATCTTGCCTTGGGACTTGAGGATGTTGGCCAGGTTTCCCCATGCTAGCAGAGTAAGTCAAAACAAAAGATGTCACTGAATTTCTGCTCCAAGTGAAAGAGGATCACACATTTGCACAGTAGTTATTCACAGCTGTTTAGAGCTTGTTTCTTTTCTTTCCAGAGAGCTGTGCAATTCAATCTAGACATATTTAATTTGAATTACATTTAGTTATTTTTAATCCAAATCTGGCAAGATGTAACAACTTTTGAAGGGTTTGTCTCAATTGATGACTGTTGCTTAAATTGTAACAGTTACCAAACTGGAGTTTGTGTGGACATAAAATTACAAATGAACAAAAACTGGAATATGTTTACAATAAATGAAACTTGAAATAGTAAAATATTTAATTTACCATTCACATACAGTGTATGAGTGACACAATTTAAAAGTATGTTGAGAGTGCAGTTGTGGTCTGGAATGTGACCTTTTATTCAGCAATAAAGTACCTGCAAAAATTTCAGGGTCTATGATACTTCAACCCAAACAAGGCCATCGGAAAGCCTCTACAAAACTTCAGTACTTTTAACAAGCGGCAATTTCTTTACCAAAAAAAAACATTTAAATCTTGCTTAAATGTATGTATTTTTTAAATAGCCTCCAAAGTTAAAGGTGAAAGCACTTGCATAAAAATGTAGAACAGTCAACCTCCATCAAATTAAACTTTACTTTTGTTTGTCACAGAGTAAACATGTTTGTGGACTGTAAGAAAGTTTGTGAAATTGTGAAAAAATGCTTGGCATCAAAGTTCATCCTTTCCTCATGAAAGACTTAAATGACAGGAAAGAAGGCCAAATCATCAAAGTCTAAAGAAATTTCCCTCTTTTCCTTGGTGAGTTTGACAATAAATGTCAGGGGGAAATTCAGGGCAAATTGCTGGGACAAAACAAACTGGCACAATTAATTGTGCGTGTCACATGCAAGGTGTTGAGTTTCTTTTGTCACTGATATGGAATCCAGTGGTGGGACATTTAATGGAGCACATCTCTTTTTATTCGGACAGCACAGCAGTGTTTGGAAAATGGCCAACTGAAAATGAAACCTTACTTAGTACAAGTAACTCATTCCCGAAGAGAAAAAAGTGCAAGTTAAACAACCATCAGAGTCCAACTTCCTGCAACAAAACATATTGTGTTAGTTTAGAAATTCTCAAGCAATGGAGACAACTGTCACACACAGCATGTACATGTACATGCTCAGCATTTCATAAAGCACAGTGGGCTGATGAGGCGAAACACAGTTGTTCACTGCACACATCGTGCTTGTACATATGCACCTGTACACGGTGATGTGAAATTATGCATGTACGGGTCTGTGTACTACTAAGGGCACTCTTTTGGCCAGAGTCAAAATATTAGTCATATGCTTTTAAGCAGCACCATACTCTACATTCATTGAGTTATCACAGTCTCCAGACCTGGATATGTCACCAAAAGAATTACAGCTACTGCTGGATGCTGATACTTCAACATTAGATGTGCCAGCTTCAATCCATCAAGTTGAAATTAGCCAGCAAGCCCTGTCAAGCTCCACAGAAAAGTGGTCTGCACTCAACAAGTAAGGGGTTATGGGTTGGAGTCCCAGTTCCAGTCAAGCTCGTGAAATTTTCCTCCAAAGCTTTCAAAATGCAACTCACATACAGAGCTAGCAGCAGTGAAAGACTAGTCTTTAGGCATTGAGTCCCGTGCTGTCACATTTTAGCACTGCAGGCAATTTGAAGTCCAAAACCTCAACAACACATCTTTTGTTTTTCATGCAACCTCTAGGATGTGAGAAAATTGTATTGAAATACATGTATGTACAATGTACAGGATGCGCGACAATAAAATGCTAGATGAGACATCCAGCAGACCTGTATACAGGTAGATCTACTTCACTTTTGGGCACTGACTGAGACCTGCTAAACATCACATCTTGAAAATGTCCCACATGTCAGAGATCAGACACTGCCATCCATTCATCGCTTATCCCAGATTACGAACCTTCACAGCTGGTAGTGTGTGATCTCTGGGTGAAACCATAGCTCATATAATGAAACTCTCATACACTAACAAACAGCTTGCCATTGCAGAAAACATACTAGTTTACCTGAACTGTAAGGACATGTCTTATATATTTTTTGGTTACATATTCTATTCAACTGATCAAAAGCTGCTTTTCAAAATAAAGACTTCTTTTCAGAGGGTGCAAGACAATGCCAGGGACCTCTTATGTAACTATTGCTTCAAACATCCTGTGTATGATATGTGGGATGAATGCAAGGATGCAAAGGAACAAGTAGATGTAAGGCCTTGCTGTACAGATGGCACAGCAAAAAAAATTACTTGTGACCACCTCATGGCCAACTGCTTACTTTATTATTGCAGATTAAATCATAAAAATAGCATTTGATTGGTCAGCTGTTTGATCAATCAAAACTGTCATTTGAAAGGGAACAGTTACTTGATCAAAACTTTCAACTGCTTGCTACATGTATACATGTGTACTGCACTAGTCTGGGAATGGGAAGCATGAACTGTGGATCTAAGGAGTACAGATTTTGTACGTATGAACGAAGGACAGTGTACAAAGCTAAACCCATGCTGGCAAGTTGGATATGGACATCAACCCCTCGGCTGCCAGCAAAAGTAAAAATCTAATTTAATCTTCCATTTCCCCTGCTACATGTATTCTGATCCACTATGACAGTCCCCCCCCCCAAAAAAAACCAGACGACAGCACAAATTTCTCAGTTTAACCGATGATTCAAAACTGTGACACCTACATGTAGCTCCATTCTGTATTTCACTGGCCGGGAACGTCCATGGTCCATCAATTTGGGATCACCAACATTCAAAAGATGCTGAAAAAGAGGTTGTTTGGACCATAGCCTCCGGCAGGAAGCGTGCAAAGAGACCATTCAAACTTTATCGAGGAGATGCTTTTGTGCTCAGATCAAAATATCATTTACTGGCTCTAGACCTGTGTTAGGCTGATGAATGGCTGAGTGATACGACCAGTGACACAAAATGGAATGCAAGTTAATTTTGCTGTAAAGTGGGTGGCATGTGGGATTTTCCTTGACAATACATGAACTACATGTACAGTAAGCCTTCTTAAATTGACTTTAACAGGTTAAACATAGGCTCCCACTGCAAATGGAGAGATTTATGATTTCAGTTCATCTGAATGCAAAGAAAAACCGTCTCAGCTGGGAACAAAGTGCATGGCTCCTTCAATGGATTAAGAGTGCAAGGTTGCCATCAAACTTGTGATTGTGCTCATTTCTTTGCTACATTTCTTCACTCAAGGTAAAATGGTTTCCACTAAGGCACTGCTTACATGTACAAGAAATCTACTTTTTAAAAACAATCTTTACATATTGGAAGTATCTTCCTTGTTTTTCTTGGGTTACTTAAGCTCAACATTCCAAATTGATAACTTAATTTTTCCCCTTCAAATGAATACAGCGAATACTGAAATATCCCCAACTTCAGACCACTTCATTTGCTGTGCTATTACAAAAGTACAAGAGACCTCACACTTACATGTACACCTGTGGGCCTCCATGTGTACAGTGTACATTGGTAATGCTTATCAGCCGTCATCTCATTTACTCAACCAATTACATTCAAGCAGTCACTAACTGGCAGATCTTTATTGACTTTGGAGTCTGTAATCAGGTATTTCCATATCAATATGTCCCTGTCAGTTGTCATAACAAACAATTCATATCTCAACTTAATTTTTCTTCAAAGAAGAGAACTGTTCTGATTTGACTCAATGACAGTTGCCATGATATTTTTGGAAATTGTTTCTCATGTCTGGAACAGCCTAATAGCAGTCATGGGTATAAGATAGAGACTTCTTGTTTGAACACTTGAAAAAATATTATAATTTTTAAATTTGTTTTTTAGAACTTAGAGTACCAAGTAGTTAGAGTAAAAAAAGTGAGAGGAATTTCACCATGCCTTTATTATGAAAGAAATAAAGCAAACCTCAAGTGGCAATAAACTGCAACATTTAATGTGTATATATGCACCTTATGAAAAATATACAATTTTCTGAGTTCTGCAAAGAAAATGCCACACGGGATAAACCTGCACAGCATACAGCTTTCATGGTACGCATCATCGACTTGAACTGCCCTGTATTTCTAGTAAAATCAAGGTTTACGGCGGTCATCGCTGATGACTTTTGAACCCTGCTCCACTGGTCTCTGCACCACTGCCACTTATGAAAATATACCACCCTTCAAAATGGATGGACAGGGTCTCCCTACCCTGTACAAATTATGCTAAATGACAATTTGTCATAAGGGTCGAGGACAGATGGTGTACATTTTTGCCTGTTTTCCTGCCTGCTAAAGATATAAATAGCAACAGATGGCAATGAGAGTTATACAGAAACCCCCAAAATGAACGGTGTGTAAACAAACAAAGTTGGTGGGCGGGAATGTTTGGCCTATGCTCGTACATGTATGCATTGGAATGGAGTGAAAGGGAATGGACTTGTGAAGGGAATTACATCAGACACACTGGTATTTTGTGATTGAGTCTTGGAAACTTGGGGTAGGAGGTTCACATCAAAGCAAGGCATAAATCCTCTCATCACATGTACAGACTACAGAATATATAAAACTGTATTGATTCATCATTTTTAAAGTACAATTACATGGTACAGGTACTAGTTGATTTAACAAGACCGTTGCTTACATCTAATTAAAATGACTGGGTGGATAAACCAAGCAGCTCTTTGCTTTCACAAACGATAACTGTGTTTAAGGAAACATTTATACAACCATGTACTCCACACACAGGCACTGGGCAAACATGCTACATGTAAATCTTTAAATGGCAAATGCACCACATCAGGAAGAGGGCTGAACTGCTCAACAAGATTAATCAAAACCTCTGCCCACATTACCAGGGGATAAGTCTGACAAGTGTTGTCTGGCACCCTGTGGAGCTGTTTGCTCAATAGATAATGTCTGTCAGCCACTCCTGTTGCCAGGAGACAGCCGCCTTTCTAAAACACACCTTAAATTAAGAATCTCGATTATCATAACAAATAAAGAGCACCAAAGTCTATTTTGTGTATTTTGTGTCTTTTACTGTAAATGCTTCGTCAGCGGATTCACTTTTATCTTTACAGTGCCATTATGATTCCCATTTTAGGCATGGCCATGTCAGTAATTTTCAATCACTATCCAGGTTTCTGCTTCTACAATAAGGATTGGGCTACATTTCACAGGTATGCAATTTGGACTTTGAGGGAAAAAATGAGGAATTCCAGTCTTTACAATACTTTGTATATTCGGTTCCTATATTATCACGAAGAAGACCATGAAGATGGCAAAAATTATACGCAAGTTATAGCCAAATCTGGTGATCATGAAAATGCTATCACTGGTCACTTGCTTGCCATAGTCCCTGATAATGGATGCAAGCCTTGTGAGGACCACTATTCTGAGCTTTTCTTTTTTTTTTCCGCCATTAAAGCGGGCCATTGGCATGTCTAGTGAAATGTCACTGGATTTGTCTACTGACAGACTACGTGTGCTGCGAGACAGCTGATGACGATGATTTCAACTGCAAGGGAAAAAAAGTTTTAAAAAAAAAAAAGACTGTGCAATTTAATACTCCAGGTTGGTACCTTTTGGTGGATTGACATCAATGCCTGATCTGTAGAGGGCTTCCTCAGACTGCCAGTCAAAGTTCCTCATCCAGGTCCTCACACTGAAAAGCAAGAGGAGAGAGGTGGTGATCGCTATGACGACCGTCTTTTGACTCCTCGGGCGCCGTGCCCAAAGCTGGTGGACGGCCTCCGCAGCTAAGAAACAGAAGCCCATGCTAGGAATGTACAGGATGCGCTCGGCTAGTACAAAGCCCACGTAGAAAAAGAGATTGGTGGCTGGCACGAATGGGAGAATCATGAAAACCATGCTGACGATGACAACATTTAAGATCCGTGTCCTCTCCTGAAAGCTTGACGGAGCTATGGAGGGAGATGAGCTGCCCGTCAGCTGCGATGAGGGGTGATGATGGTTTTTCCGCTGGCCGTTACTGGTTCGCTTTCGGAGGGATGACAAGGTGTCATGCCTGATTCCGTTGCCATTGCTGTTGTTGCAACTTGGACTTGGAATGTGGGTGTACCCGTTTCTGGCATGTCCGTTTCTCTTATCACTCGATCCAGTCCATGCAACACCATGGCCATTACTAGCTCTGCTAGCTCTACAATTACTCGGACAGTTTGAGAAATCTGAACTGCCAGCTTTTAATCGGTTGTTTACTTCGTGTCCATGATGTAAATCTTCTAGCTCCTGGAAGCAGTACCAGGCAAAGGCGGCCAGACTGCTGTAATATACCAAACTGAACAGATTTCGGATATCAGTTAGTGACTCAATCAGTGGCACTGCTTCCATCGACCAATCAAAGCTGAGACGATAAGGGCAGACCAAGAGCCAGGCGTTTAGTACTGGAAGATACAGGAATGTCAGGAGTCTCGTCTGCAAGCTCTCGTCACTGGCGGCGGGGTTGTCAGACGGGGCAAAGTGGGGCGGCTTGTTGCCCATGAAATGGAGGCGGAATGCAAGCAAGATGGCCACGCTGACAACTTGAGATAGGATACCCTCCCAAAGCCGGTGGCAATCCTACAAGAAAACAAGAGAACAAGAACAAAACATAAACACTACATAGACAGTAGCTAGTACATGTCAGCCACACAGACTAAAGTAAATCTCTTCATTACATGACTCATGCGAAAGTGAACAACCAATCTTGAAGGCTAGGTCATTTGTCTGACAACCACTTCAATAATTAACCAATTTAGTATTCCAACTGCACATATGCATGTATGGGTAAATCCAGAAATTAAGGGTCCTTTTTTGTGTGTGTCCCTGTCACATCTGACATACGAGTTGTAAGTTCAGAACACATTTTCTTATTTCCAAGAGTGATGAATTAAAGCAAATTACCTGCCAAATAAATAGTAATGGTTTGAAATAAATGACGGTGATATTTCCATTTCAAATAACAAGGTCAGATGTAACAGGGACACAAAAATGTCACACTTTTGGACCCTGAATTTCTGGAATTACCCATATGCACAGAATGATGGTCAATCACACTAGGTCATTCAGGAAAATAAATATGCACAAATGTAACTCTGGGACAATCTTGGCTTGTTAGAACCCCAAACTTGCTGATTTTTTTGATATCAAACTAACAATGAACAATCTGGACGAATCAAGAACCAATATTTTGAGGCAAGGGGGCCTTGTTGGAGGGACCAAAAAGTTGGACAGTTTTCAGGTAACTTTTATGGCCTCTCTGAGGTGAGGATAACATTTGTGAATTGTTTTACACGTTTCTGAAAAAAAGAAATGAAACAGACCCCAAAATTTGCCTTTTTCTCATTATTAAAAAGAAAAAAAAATTGGAGTACCTTTGGGGGATGGCTCCCAACCTCCCCCTCCCATATGCCCTTGTATACTGCACACACAAGTCTAGATTTATGCAAGGGAAATTCTGAATTTAAACATGGGAGTACATGTATTGACCTTACGTGATCTTCAAGTCATTCTTAAAGGGAAAATCCTGAAATCTAGAAAAATCCTGAGAAATCACACCCTAGTAATAGTAGTATGAAAAAAAAAAGAACTCAGAAAACATGATCCAGAGCAGAAACAAGGCTTCAGCATTGTTTTTGTAAGAACCAACCTGTGCACTGACTGAGTGACAAGTATGCCAAAAAGTTGTTGCACTGGTAAACACGACATGTAAATTCATTCCGATGAAATTCTTGCAGACATTGGTGGCTACTGGTCGGAAGGCAATGCCCCTATTCTGCAGAGTTCATTATTGGGGACATATGTGGCAAGGCCCAACAGCATGACAACCCCCATTGCTATCACAGCAGAAGCCAAATTATTTTGCCCAACTTTGCTAATTGGACAAGTTTCTCAAGGTCCAAAATGCTGGGAAAGTGGACATTACTTTTAGGTTTTCAAAACAAACATACATATACATCAAACCAAAGCAAAAAAACTCCACTTTCAAAGTTTTCAATGTCTCTGAATGTTGCAAAGATTCTGCTAAGATTGGCGTGCGATGCCCTATTTGCTTGTATAGTATCCTTTTTCGGTCATTCCAACTAGTAAACCATTTGATGCAGCCAACTTTTGTGAGTTGACAAAAGGTATGATCCCCACCAATCCTAAGAATCCTGAATCCTTCACTAGTCCCAACAACAAGTTTCATAACAGAGTGCCTACATCATTTAAATTATTGAGTCTTCCCATGAAACGTATGTATACAGAATGCAAGCACATGTATCAGGGGTAATGCTGCAGACATGTAACTGAATTGTTCTTTGTGAATTCTCCTGATTGTTGTATGATGGTACATTCAGCTCACAAGTTTTTTGTGTGATAACTCAAAGAAAAACTGGTTGGTAACCAAACGTGGACACCAGATTTTGATTCTGGTCACTAAGTTAAGTTTGGGAGCAATTTGTGCTTCCGAGATTTAATATTCTACTACAATCCATTTCACAAAATGCAAAATTCAGTGTAAAAGGAGTTGTAGACAGCAAAAACCAATCACTGATGCAGATGTTTCCGACATTCATAAAAAGGGAAATAATCTTTCACCATACATCTACCGTACCACTAAAATGACAAATAGTGGTACGGTGTCCGTACCTTTTAAAGCAATATTTACTCACGTGGTTCAAAGTCAGCCCAGGATAACGGACTCCCAAATTTTCATGAGGTTCGGTTTGGGACAAAAAAGGGGAGGGGAAAATTGGTGGGTTTGTGCAGGTGTTTTGCCTTCAGCCTGGTAGGACACCAGCAAAGCTAAAGGTCCTTTTTGATCTGATCAGCCGCCGTTAATAAAAGCCCTCAATTGAATTTTCCCGTTGTTGGCCCAGCAATTTCCATTCCTCCTCCTAAGTTTGCAATTGTTGGATTGTCCCAAAAGCCCTGTGGGGGGATTGTTATTTAGGAGGGTTTTGTGCCACAAATTAAATTACTTTTTTTTCACTCTCTATCACACCAAATGGTGTTTTGAAATTGAAGAGCAACGACCCTGTATAGCAGGGTTGAATTTGGTGGTCGCAGCCCTCTCGGCAAGTCCATGCCAAAAATCCAAGGCTTTCAGTCTGATTTTTTTCTCAACTCCTTGAATCAAACTTGGACCCTGGTAGGAGGCTGTACAGTATAAGCCAAAAACATGTCATTTAAAACTGGTGGTGGCAGTATCAATGTGGACCACACTTCCAAGTATGTAACATTTTTTTAAAACCAGGACAGACAGGAAGAACCCAGTCAGACCCATAGTCAATTTTGAGTCAGCTTCCCTAGGGTTGAAAAAAAAAATCCTCTGAAGATTGACACTGACAAAAGGGTTCCTACAAGTGAGTGTCACACCATCCATCAAACTACAACACACTGACTAAAAATAAAGAAAGAATGACCTAAAAGGGGTCTGCTACAGCTAAACACTCGGTCAAACATTATACCTACACTTGCAATTCTTGATATCAACTGCACATTGGCTCGATACTTTTCAATTATCCCAAATAGACTTCTGTCATCTGTTAATGTCAAGCCATGAATTTGTTTGTGCAGAGTTTGTGCATTCACACCTGATACACTACTTTGGACGTGGACTCGGGCCTATGTTATGTTGGTTATCAAAACCAGACGTTACAGAAAGGAGAATCTCAATCATGATCCAAACAAAAACCCACAATGAAAACAAAAGAGTGTGAACTAAGCATCATTTTGGATACATTCTGAAGTACAGCTCCATCCATAACGAATGAAATGGTCAAAATGTCCTTACAAGATGTGTAAAAAGATCTTATACAAGTATGATAGTGATTCCTCCAGGTAAATTCTAGAAATACTTTAATAAATATGTACACAACTGCAAACTGCAATGCCCAAGTTCCAATCCCACAACTGTGCCTCTTATTTCATGGGACTTGGGAAACCACAGGGAAACCGAGCTGTTCTGATGTCAGCACTAAAGGTGTTGCCTAAAGTATTTGGGGGAATAATAACATGAATATGAACTGCAAAACCCCATTTGGTTCGAGGAGCAGCGGGGAGCCCACTGGAGGTGGCAGACTGGAATTGACATGGACAACTGAATCCAATTGAGCATGAGGACGATGCCTGGCAGGGTGCCAGCTGAACCAAAGCAAGGACAGAGAGCTTCTCTAGCTATGTGTTGCATGGGCCAGGGCACTGATCTCGGGCATGGCCCAGAATTCTGTGTGGGGCTGGATGTGGGCTACATGGGAAGCAAGCTGTACCCTGCAGGGATGAGAGGGATGCATTGGGGTCGTTGGCATGGCAGAGCAGACAAAAAACAGCAAAGGAAAGTATTTGGAGGCACTTTGGAAGCTTGTTGTGAAATGCACCTCATAAACTTCCCAGTGAGTCCAAAAGCTTGAAACATGGCTAAACAAATCCTAAATGCAGACTGGACACATTCACTGTGTACAAACAAAAGTGAAGCCAACATATGTATATGCATTCAATTCTTCTTTTGGAACTTAAATGCAAAAATGAAAAGCTCCCAGTTTAGAAGGAGCAATGCTGACACAGATCTGGGTATTTTATCAGCCTACATGCATTACATGTAGGAGTTATTTTTGTTGGGGAAGAATTACACAGATTTGGTTTCGTTTAAATATTTATACATATGGCTCATATCAATTTTAAAAAAAGGATGCAAAAAAGTACTGTATACGTTTATGTCGGGTGTAAGCCTGTAAATGTGTATTCATAGGCCCTTTCAAAATTCCCCTTACTGGAGGCAAGATGAACCCTGAAATTTGCGGAATCCCTTTCAAAGTAGCAAGAACTTAGGGTTCTGGCACTCTACAAAGGTGACATTCATCCCTGGTTGGGAAGGATGTGATTGCTGTAGAGTGCACTTGCACAACTGGTGCACAATTCTTTCAGTAAAACACGTGGGCTGGCCAAAGAATGCTGTCGGTGTGCACAAACCACTTTTGTGTGCTCACATCTTGCTTGGGCAAAAATTAAGGCCAGACATCCGCTCATGCTTGTACTAATGTGAACGGTAGTACTGTCTTGCTGGTCCAAGACATCCACTCACAAAGTGGACCAATGTTGCTTTCAACTTGGGTAGGCAATATCATGGTGTGAAATTGCCTTGTATAACTTGCATGCATTGTGTAAATGCATGAGAAAGGTGTCACTCTTTTCTTCCGAAGATGGAAGAAAATACGTGCAATCAAATCTTTTGAATGTTTTGAGTGAATCACTGAAGAATTCTACAAAATTCTGTCTGTGCTCTGAAACAAGTTCAACTGTTCTATTTAGGACAGCAGGATGCATAAAATTTTAATTCAAGAAAAAGGAACTTTGCCATTCGTCATGCATTCAGCGAATGCGTGTAACTTTCCATCCAAGCTGGTATATAAATTTGCATGTACAATGAAGCTATCACACATTTGGTAAATGCAAGCGCAAACACCCACTTTTCTTTCACTAACCAGCATCAATGAGGACAATCATATCTATTTATGCATAAATGTACGTGACATTCAGCACGTAAGCTTGCCAAGCAAGCTTGCACCCACACAAAATCAAATTGTATCTATTGCCAG